CTGTAATTCCTTTGTCAATGTAAAGAAAACATTTTATTAGAGAGGGGAAAACCTGAGTAAGTTTTTCCCCTTCCCCCCCCCCCCCCCAACTTTACTCATTGTAAACCGTATAGTTTTATAATGGCAAACAAACAAGAAGTTATTATTTTATTTTAATTTTAAAAATGTTATGCTTAGTTTCTATGCTAAATAATTTACTAGACAGGGGGGGCCATTCGGATAATCAAAGTTTCAGATACTAGATGCTCGGAAAAATTGAGGTCTACTGTACTATTTAAAAAAAACAAAAAAAAACATAACTCAAGGGACTGTGTAGACACTAAAATGATTTTCATACAAAAATTACATTGAAGGTATCATTGTACCTATGCCAATTGTTACGGTCGTAACATTTAGCCGCCTGCAGGCTTTAAAAAGCTGTACAGTATAAACAGAAAATCATAAACTACTAAAGGCTTTTGTCTTTTCTCCAGTTTTATTATAATAATAGTTCTTCAAGAATATAATTCCATAAACGTTATTGTTCAAAAACTGTTTATAAATAATACAAATTGAAACATAAATAGTTAAACGTTTCATAAGTTGTAAGACGCTGACAATAATATAATTTTACAAGAAGCATTTCAGTATTTCATGTTCAGAGTTGCGTTTCTTGCTTAATTATAGGTCATGTGATGTTTAAATTGTATAAATATTTATTATTTTATTAGTTGCACACATTTTTTAATGAATAAATTACAGTGATGAAGGATGTCAGCAAAAAAAAAAATGAAGTCAAAAGATCACGCCTTAACACTATATAAGTTTGATCTAACCATATAACAGATTTTCCTTTACTAAAGCTTATTAAATGGTGTGTTTCTGCAAAGCCATGAGCTCGGAATCCTTTCAACGTAAACAAATCAATAATAGCATGGAGTAAAAAAAATAAAATATACAAGTATGAAATATTATGCTCATTTGTAATGGGGGGCGGGGTCAAATGGGTCGGAAGAAAAGACACCGATAACCAATGTCTTTCCCCAAGAGCTCGGCGGTTTTGTTTAGTGAATCACGTAGATTCAATCACGTTAAGAAGCAACCGCCTCTTGGAATGCACAGCTTTTTTGTTTTGGAGAATGGAAACGTTTGGTTTCTTCGACATTTGTGTCCATATGTTTTCATTAACCTTTCACGTACTGATTGTCAGCCCCCGCGCCAAACCCCCTCTTTTGGGACACCAGAGCGCTGTGAGCATGCTAAAATAGCATGGATACAAGCGCTATAAAAGTATTTTATCAATCAATCCTTAAATTGTTTGTTTTTCCTTATTAAATAAAAAGTTCATTTAAATAAAATAATTTTTTAATGATAAATTTATATTGACCCCCCACACCCCTCCCACTTTTTTTGTTCACGACCGAAAGAAATTAATAATGTAAGTTACAACAGTTATACCCAATGATGATTATCCCATTTTATATGCTTTCAGTAGATCAATGGAACTTTCCACACTGGTAGTAGACTGATAGTCAGGTTACTCACATCCACCCTCACCCCCCTCCCCCCCCCCCCCCCCACCCACAAAATTAATTATGTAAGTTTCAACAGTTATACCCAATGAAGATTATCCCATTTTATATGCTTTCAGTAGATCAATGGACCTTTCCACACTGGTAGTAGACTGATAGTCAGGTTCCTCACATCCACCCTCACCCCCAACCCCCCCCCCCCCTACACACACACCCAAAAAGGTTTCCAACTTATGTTCACATTCAGCTTTATCTTTATATCCGACCTTGACCCCTCGTCCCGCTAATACCCGGTAAAGTAAATTTAATGACGTAATATCAGACCAGAGATCTATCACTCAGGAAGACGATATTATCTTATGGTAACCTCGTAACCTTTCGAGCACAGCAGAAGATGGCATTAATATTTTAACTTAAGAAATACCTGCAAACCTCTCTATTTAAACCTTACAAAATTACTTTTTAAATATCAGAAGCTTAAAAATATATATTAAATAATACATTGCAATGAGAGATTTACTGGTTGATCCTAACGGCAATCAATGTCTTAGAAATAAGTAATCAAACAAATAACATCGTATTAGTATTTGTAAATTAATCATATAAAGTATAGAATGTTTAGAAGGAATAATAAAATTAGAAAATTGTTCACGTGAAGTCTTTTAATTAAAAAAAAATTAATAAATTTATTTTATTTTCTAAAGCTACTTAAACTTTTGAAAACGATTTCCTTAGATTATTTATTTCTAATTTTAACAATCTACTGCAGCATTTCCCAAATGTCGGGCCGCGACCCGGTACCAGGCCCCGAAAGAATAATCCTCGGGTGCCCGAAAGAAGAAACAAAAAAAAAAAAAAAAAATAACCGGGACCCAAAAAAAAAAAAAAAA